AAGTGGTGCAGGCAAGTGGTCAAGTGGTGCAGGCAAGTGGTCAAGTGGTGCAGGCAAGTGGGCAAGTGGTGTGACTAAAGCAAGCCCATGTTGGAAAGAGTCTAGAAAGTACCAGTCCGGTCCAGCAAGTACCACGGGGGGAACTGTGTGCACCATAACCAATGCAGCACAGAAGTATAAATCAAGAGGCTGCGTCCATTCATGGATTCATTCCTGCAGATGCCAGGCGGAAGCGCTGCCTTAGCAGCTTGTGCGAGGCGGTCTGCAGTGCGCCCGAAGACGAAGTGGGCAGAGAAGTGTAGTGTAGCGATAGGGTAGAGGCAGCTAGCGCTGCCATAGCTGTAGCATAGTATGTGTGTGTGTTGTGTATGATACTGAGTGTTGCGTGTGGGACATCCAGGGTGATCCAGAGTGCGAACAGTGAGTTGTGTGRGCGCCCAGTCGCCATAGCCAGTTGAAAAGAACTCATATCTGGTTACGATATCTTGAGTACTGTGTGGGCGCATGTCGCCAGTTGCTGTACCGCTGTTTGCAGGCATGACAAAGTGGGAAGAAGACGAGTTTGATTTCATAACTACACTAGATAAAGCAGGGCTTCATTGCATTGCTCAGTAAAGTGCAGTCTCCCCTTCCATCACTTAGTTCTTTTCCCACATATGCCTCTCCAGCTGACGCTCTTTGGCAGAGGACAGACCCCCATCTCCAACCATGGTTCTTCTTCTTCTGCAGGCATGGCAGAATTTCGTCATATCCTTATTTGTGGTGCATTCCTTTTCTCTTTGATGAAGCGCAATGCAATCAACCAGAGGATGTTCATAGCATGCGTACAGCCATCGACTGCTATTCTTTCGTAACTCGGTGCGGATCAACATTTATCCGGCTCAAAAGTTGCACCGGCTTTACGCAGCCAGCCTAGAATAGCATGCAGGGTAGCCAGGCTCTTCACCCTGCCGGTCTCCCCGCGAACATACAGCATGTGCGTATTCCAGTTTCCCAAAAGATACTCTACTCTCCAAAGGATACACCACTTCGTCCAAATAGGAGCACTTCAAACAGAAGACATATACGTTATAGTCGCATAGAACGCATATGCTTTACATAAACGAGTTCCTACGGTTGGGATCTACTCTATTTGAATTAAACACTGCCCAACAATTTGCACTTCGAATAGAACATCATGCTATGGCAATCTATTCGAGAAAAGCATAGTGACACCGCCAGACAATTTGCACTGCAAATAGAACACCATGCGATGGCAATCTATTCGAGAAAAGCATGGTGTTCTATTCAAATAGAACATCACAATATCATTCTATGGCACTCCACTCGAGAAGCGCACTTCAAATAAAAAGCATTTCGATTTGAAACAAAAGCATATGTGTTGTATTCGAATAGAACGTATATGCTTTGTATAAATGACTTCCTTGGTTAGAAATCTATATATTAGAATGATGTGCTCTTAAGATAGAAAATCATACTCTCTCTCTCTCTCTCTCTCTCTCTCTCTCTCTCTCTCTCTCTCTCTCTCTCTCTCTCTCTCTCTCTGTGTCTCTGTGAGATGAATGATGATGTGCTCTTCAAACCCTCCCCTCTCAGACTGTGGTTCCTTGTCACTAGAATCGCTCACACAATTTCCTCCTCTTTCCTTATCCCTCCCTCTCTCTCTAATTCTCTCCTCTCCCTCGCACACACACTCATAGAAGGCAAGAGTATTATTGAGAAATGAGTTGAAACCTATGCACCCACCACAAAATGGAGTCATGCAGCATTATCACAGGCTCTGGGGATGTCGCCAAGAAAGCGTGAATCTGCTATGTCCCAACTGGAAAACGAGCACAGAGAAACAAACCATACAAAAAGGAGGCTGCGGAAAAGAGCCTACTCCCACCAACTAGCTTCATCGTCTACCTGAAAGTTGGTACCCAAGCCTTCCAATAGCGCACCTATGCGTTCTAAAAGACTAAAATGTACACCATGCCTTCTTTTCCTTCAAAACACATAGACACAGCTTGCCTTTCACTAAGAGCCTTCCCAACACCCGGAAATGATTTGAAAGAACCCTGTGATGTATTCCTCTGTGTCGTCATATTCGCTATACAGAACTCCACAAAGAAAAGCATGACTGTGCCAGACTGTTTCGTCGGACTTTCATCGACTCATCAGGTGTGTTTCACAGAGTTACCTCGTACCAACACCAGATTACCCCAGAGCCCCCCCCCCCCTTTTGTGCTGTCATGTTCACTATACGCAACTCCAAAAAAAAACATGACTGTTCCAGAGTCCAGACTGTTTTGCCGGAATTTCACTGACTCGTCAGGAGGTTGAACCCCAACAGCCTGTCCACAGTGTCCAGAATGAATTTGACTGATGGATAAGGACTCCCCTTGCCGAGCAGAGTTAGCCGTACCGCTGAGAAAAGTGGTCAACTTCACTCACACTGACCCTGCAATCCTAGCAGACTGTCCGTGCAGACCCCTGACAAGAATGACAGTAAGTCTGAGAAACGAGTCTGTCACAGCCATAAAACCCACTCAGCCAGGGATGTGTGTGTGCGTGTGTGCAAGGTGAGGGAGAGGGGAGAGAGGTGGACCGGTGAGGAAACCACCACATGGGTGCGTTGCACCAGAAAGTTGGCCATGGAGATGGCCCTTGCAAAAGGCTATATCTCAATATTGTTCCTCCCCTCGGCCTTCAAAGAACCTACGGGTTGTGGAATTCCACGCAAACTAACCCCCGACCTGGAAGGTACCTAGGAGCTTCTTTTTTTTCTTTTTTTTTACCTAGTAGCTTAGCTTCACTCTGCTATTAACTGGAAGAATACGAGTCCTCATATATCAACCAATCAACGAGTTAGCATTCTGATAGAGCGGCATTGCCTAGATCTTTGACCTTTCCCTTTCAAACTCCCACCCCTCCACTTGTTCACCTCAATTTCCTTCTTTTCTTCTTTGAAAGGAGGAGGAAGGGGGTTATTTCCTAATATTATACAGTGGACAGGCAGGATCAAATCTCTTAAGCCACCGGTTTCATTCCGGCTCGAACTACCGGACCAAAATGGCTGGTGGCGCCAGGCAACAAGAAAATATTTTGTGCCCGTGTTGGTTCTTTTCTGTTGGTCGTGCGCAGCACCACTCCTGGTTGGGGAAAAGAGGCTTGGAGGACTTGTGGTTTTATGTTAAAAATTGTCTATAGATCAACAACAGTTGTCCATCTCATCCTCTGGCACATTTTTTTCAAGAGAACACTGCAAAAATTGATGCGCATGCTGTCTTCCTGTCCTCTGGGACAATCTGTTCAACAGGACAGTTCAATTCATACGTATCTGTTCACGAGGACAAGATTTCCCTTTGACCGAAACAGGAAAAAAGTTTTGTTTCAGCTGTTGCCCTCCCTTCCTCCCCTTCCTTGATACTTATGTGACAGTCCACTTCTCCCGAAAAAACGGTGCCAATGCTTACCTTTGAGCCACATCAGGCAGGTGCCCTGACTTTCCAACTACGTACATTGTTCTCCCTTTCCAACTTAGTGTGCTCGCTTGCGCATGCCATATACTACTCCAAAGGTCCGCTTCACGACATGGATTTCCACAAACTCAAGCAAGCAGATGTTCGAACTCGTGATCTCCAAGAGGTTTGGCGGCTCTTTTTACCACGTGCATTCAACGTCTGGTCTCTGCAACCTCTTCTGACTTAGTTGAGAGCATTCCAGCGGCTTCTCAATGTTCGAGCCGCTTAAGAACGTATTTGGGGTACACCGTCCAGACCAAGTCCACGGGGGCCTAGAAAAAACAACCCAGCCCCGGGAAAGTCAATAATCAGGCACTATCCAGGCAGCAGATGAGGAGTCAAAAAAGATTTCCGAGAAAGTTAACCACGGCCACAGATCACACACAAATAAGTCCAAAGGCTCAGAAACTGGTTTCCAGACGCATCCAGGGCCTACTGGGTCCGAGCAGCAGCAGAACCCACTTGCATCTCAGCGGCACAGATAAACCAATCAACAAAGCTCAGCCCTGCATCGGGCCCAAGTGGAGGCAGGCTAGGCCGGGCAACACACACAAAGTCGGCCTCCACTCCAGCAGCAATACATTCTGTTTCCTACATGAGGCTGGAGCACTGTGTGTTGCACAAGCGCAAGTGTTGAGCAATAGCAGAGAGAAGGAAAGGGAGAGACCGCCATTCCTGGACGGGTGGAGGTGCTGTTACCCCAGAGACAGATCCACACACACACACACAGAGAGAGAGAGAGAGAGAGAGAGAGAGAGAGAGAGAGAGAGAGAGAGAGAGAGAGAGAGAGAGAGAGAGAGAGAGAGNGAGAGAGAGAGAGAGAGAGAGAGAAGGACTCCACAGTTGTTAATCAGCAGGTAGGGAGCACCGTATAGTCCTCCACACTGCTCCCGTTCCTTCCGATAGGGAGGGGTGTACAGTCCTCCATACCATCCAGATAGAGAGGGGTGTATAGTCCTCCGTGTGCATTCAGATATGGGGGTGTACAGTTCTCCCTACCATTCAGACAGGGAGGCATGTATAGTCCTCTGTACGATTCAGATGGGGGGGTGGGCGGGGGTATAGTCCTCCCTACCATTCAGATAGGGAGGCGTGTATAGTCCTCTGTACGATTCAGATGTGGGGGGGGAGTCCTCCCTACCATACAGATAGGGAGGCGTGTATAGTCCTCCCTAAGAAACGTTCAGATATAACATGTACAATCCAGTCTGCTTAACGAGAGAAAGGTAGAAGGGGGTGGAAGCAGGTGCTCTGCAAGGAATCCATACATACCTGGTGCATAGAAGTTCAGCATTCTATTTGCATGGAACCTGCAGATCCAGACGAGAACAAGAACAACAGCATCTCAGTAGCGTGTAAAATTGTATTTGCTCTTTGATGTTAAAAAACTCCTCTGATTGCCTTTCCACTAGAGGTGCTAGCCATCCTATCTTTTCCCCAGCACCACCTTTGTGGGTCCCCTTTTCTTTTCCACCTGTTTTTCTTCTTTTTTCCCCCACAGTTTCCTTACCTCTGTCCTCCTTTTTTTTACCTTCTCTTTCCCTTCCTGTCCTTTCACGTTCCCTTCCCTTCCCTTCCCTGATCCTTCGCACAGGTGGGCGGGCATGCACACACACACACACACACACACACACACACACACACACAGTGGTGTCTTTTTTTTTGTGGTGGCATTGTAGGCCGTCACAGAGGGCTCTAAAGAAAAAATTAGACCATTGGCATGTGTGGTCGGTACTTTTTGTTAGTGGAGCCTTTTGTGTTATGCTATTGGGTTTGTTTAATTAAGCTCGCAGTTTTGTGGGCCGGCGTGGAGGGCTCTCCAAGTTTTTTTGGACCTATGGCGGATGGGGTCAGTGCTTTCTTGCTGGTGGAGCCCTCTGTCTTAGGCAAGTTGACTTTTGCCCGCCACCCGTTTATGGATAATGATTTAAATGAAATAAATACATGTATATGTGCAAGTGTGCCGCTTCGGCAGCAGACGGGTGTGTGGGCACTTGATGCAAAACCACACAAACGTGGCCAACCTTGCATTTTGACTATCTTGCCTATCTCTACTTCTTTTGTTTTATGGATGGTTTATGATGATTCGTGGAGGGAATAAGAGAGAGAATCTGGGGTTCCCTAAACACACACACACACACACACACACACACACACACACACACACACACACACACACGCGCGCGCGCGCGCGCGTATGGGACAATGTCATCGCCCCCAATACACACGAGCCAGGAATAATACATACCAAGTCTTATGCGCAAAATGTGGCGATGAATTTTACAGTGCCGCAGGCCTGCGTGAACACGAGGTACGGCCATCTGCGCAGCATTTGCATGACTAGAAGTCACTCTGAGTACGAGTGCAGCTGGCTGATCAGCTTCCACTTCTTGCATCTGAACCCCCCACTTCCAATCCACCTCACCCCGATTGCTCCCCCACTCCTACTGACAATGATCCACCCTCTGATCATTTGATGGAGCCCACAACTAGAGATGCTCTCTCTTCAGAAAGCATGCTACAGCCAATAGAGTTAATACAGCCAAAGGAACCTGACAGAGACAGTCAAGACCGGAATGATCCTCCCTTGCGGTGCAATCTGCAGAACCAAATGGTCTCATAGTGCTACAGCAAGGCCACTGTGCATACTATATGCCACTAATGTGTGTCTCCTCACACACGATTGCAACCCCTATACTGTTTCTGATATAGCAGACATTGTCCGCTGAGCAGAAGAGGAGCACCATTCTCTGCCCAGAGGATGACAATACAGCACTTGCCGTGACAGTAATGCACTAGGCGTGAACATCGTACTATCTATGGCATTTATTGCAAGACGTCCGCAACTCCAGCCTGCTCCACAGAATCATTTGCCTGACATGAACCAGAATATTTGTGCTTACATCCTGAGACCCCCAGGTCATTTCAGTGATGTTACCTTTGCAGATAGTTCATGGACCCTTTTGGATAATGGAGGTAGGGTGCACACTGCACACGCTGGCAAATATTACCTCTTAATGTCACCGAGTGGCAGAATCCCACTCGATCTGGCTGCTGGCTGGTCACTCAGGAACAGTACATGGATGTGCATTCACAAGCTCTCCACCTCCAGAGAACAATCCAGATGACCCTTCCCCCTTTGCTGAACATGGCCAGGCAGCATCCCTTCCCTGTGTGGATCAGACAATTCCGCCACAAACCCAGGGCCGCGTGCCAAAGGGCTTGCAAGAACTGGGTCCCCAGCCGAAGGCGCCGAAGGCCCCGTTTGAGTCTCTATATAGATAGGCCGAAGGCGCCCGTATCTATTAACTGAGTTCACTCAATGATACTACTTCGCTGCCTAACCTCTGCGTTCCTGGCCTTATCTGAAGACGTTGATGTCGAAGAGATCTTGTGGCACCCACCACTACGTGGGCACCTAAGAGTAAATACTGGCAGTGGTTCAGGTAGCCAGTCAAAGGCCACTAAAACACCAGATACAAAAACTACCCATGCTAATGGGGCTCCTCCACGGGACGGTGGCTGTGCCATGCCATTGTGTCTCCAGACAGGTACTGTTCGGTTAGCATGCACATGAGACAGTCCCTGCTCCTAACACTATGAAGGGATGGTCACTGCCAGCCTCTGCCGTGCAAACTGTGACCCATTGTCTTGCACTCATTCCCCCAACCCCTTATTGCTTGCCCGATATACCATTGTGGCCTTGACATACCATGCTTAAATAACTGCAAACGACAGCATGCTTTCCTGCTGTGTATGTCAGCAACATGCCATGTGTCGCCAATGTTTCCAGGAAGCTCTCATGGAAAGTATGTGTCTCTGCCGCATGGACTATCCCGGATCCCATCACCTGTCAAACCCTCTCGTTGATGTCCCACAAGCAACGTTGGCTGCAAACGACAGCTTCACCCATAATCAGATCTCCTCCATCCTTGCCCGATAAGCAAACACAGAGGCAGCAGCCTGAGGTGTAAAACAGACTCTCACATGAACCACCTACAGTGCGTTGTACTGAAAGGTTATCACCACCAGGACGAGCTGTTGCGGACCAGATCTTGCAACAGCTAAACACCCTTACTTTTTGCATCAGGCCCCGTCATCGCCTGGCCCATAGAGAGGGAATCTTGGCTGCAGAGACCGAAGAAACCTGCTCAATGCTGCACAGCGATGGTCCACCTGAGATTCGGCTAGCATGTCATAGGCATGCTTTTGTCGTGAGGATTATAAAGGTATAGCCCATGCAAGTGTTTGTTTTCATACGTATGATGACAGTCAACATTGTACTCACGTACAAAACCCTTGCATGGCATGTCCTATTTATAGACAGAGGTTAGGACGGTGATGCCTATACAATTGCAGTCCGTGCGAATCTGTGTTTCTAGCATATAGGAGCCACGTAGCCTGTGACATCTGTCTACACCGTGCCATTCTATGCAGCAACTGCAACTGCGAGCATTGCATCTGGTCCTTCGACAGGCCACACCCGAACACCTCCTGTCCAGTCTGTAGGGGTGGCCACTTCCCATAAGCAACACCAGCTTCTCCACTCAAATTTCCCAGCACCCCAAGTATTGACTGGCCTCTACGCCATCCTATAGTAGTCAGCTCTGGCGGACTGAGAACCTATTCTGTACTGAAGTTTGAATGTCCTCTATTATCTGAACTCCTCCCCTACCCTTCCTCTTTCCTTCCTCCCTCCCGAAATAGCATAATCAAAAGAACAGACAAAATAAAATATAAGCTGAAGATTACATGCGGAAGTGAAACAGAAAACACGGCTACCCGTAACACAGTCCTCCACCGAAGACAAGCAGCACACACGAATCAACATCCTATAAAACACGAGCAAATTTGCAGAATTCCCTATTTCAAAATTCTAAGATCAACTTTTGTCGTTCTGTAAAAATTAAAAAAATAATAATAATAAAACAAAACGATCAACTTTTGTCTTTTTTTTTTCTTTTTTTACTTAAAAAACTCGAAGTGTGGCAAGCGGACAGTCAATCCTCCACATTGCTGGCGCAATCAATGCCGCTCAGGGGTCTTTCGGCCAGACGGAAGGAAGCACGAGTCTGTTGATATTGTTAATTTTTTTACTTGCAGGTGGAATAGGAACCGGACGGACGTTCAACAAAAAAAAAAAAAAAAAAGAAAGAAAGAAAGAAAGAAAGAAAGAAAAAGAAAAGGAACCGGACTGACGCTCCCTAGAATGGATATGAAGGCCGGGCCATAGGGACCTGCCTTTGTTTAAAAACAAAACCACAAAAAAAAAAAGCCTCGAAGTCAGTGTCGGCCTTCTTCACGTTGTCCTTATCCTGTCAACGTCTTTCGGGCGAAAGACATGGCGGTTCTTCCTCACAGCATGCATCACTGACCAATTGCATGGCATAAATCTGTGCACCACTGATCTAATCTTCCCGTGATACGTAACCTTCCAAGTCCACCTCATCACTCACGTTCAGCTTCCATATACAATACACCTGGAATATCAACCTCTGTTGTCTTCTGCCAGGTAGTGGGAACTGTAGGAGGAGGGCAGGATGTAATGCATCCACACGATTAGTCGCCATGATAACCTTCACATTCAGTGTCTTGTCGAACCCATCCATCTGATTGATGAGCTCCATCACAACGCGCTGGACGTCATGATCGACTATCTCATCAATGAAGTGACAACTGGCGCATTTTCCTTGGCCGGTCTCAACACATGTCGAACCATCCTGGGACCCCCTCCGAAATACTTCTGCACAAGTAGTTAGCTAGCTCTTCTCTCTCTCTCTCTCTCTCTCTCTCTCTCTCTCTCTCTCTCTCTCTCTCTCTCTCTCTCTCTCTCTCTCTC